TGATCAGAATCTGCATGTGAATGCTAAGAGTCCTGTTCCCCAATTGGTTCTTGATCAATCAATGATCAATAAGGATGCTAGTGGCCAATGGCTGGGCAGAAGAAGTGGGAACAGGCAGGCTAGGAAATGCAGGAGGAGGAAAGAAAATTCACCATGCTTCGGAGGGAGAGAGAGCCACCAGCCACGTGAGATCTCATATGGAGTGACCATTGGCCAGTTCCCAGACTGGGCTTAGGGTAGCAGCGAGAGATTAGAAACACAAGTAACTTGAGGCCAGATTTAGGATGCTGAGCAAGGAGAAGGTAACCAGGAAACTAAGTTGAGGGAAGATTTTAAGATGTTGAACTAGGAGTTAAGGTAAGGGTATGTAAGCTGCAGGAGGCTTAGAAGTATACAGCCATTGAGCTAAAAAGCGTATTAAAAATAAGCTTGTGCATGCATGTGTGTGCGTGTGCTTGCGTGTATTTCATCTGTGGATCCAAGGTGCCTGGTAGAACGGTCTACTTGGAACTTAAAGCAGGGTAGTGGAAACTACAAGCTACACCAGACTTTGATACTGAGAGTGTCTTCATCAATTAGAGTCAGTCCGCCTTACTTTTTTTAGATAAGGTCTCTCACTGAACATGAATCTCGCCAATTCTGCTAGGCTAGGCTGATGGGCCAATGGGATCCAGAGACCTTGCCATTACCATAATTACATAGGTGACTACTTTTCCTGGTTTTGGAGGGTGCTGAGAATCTAAAGTCAAACCCGTCCTGTTTGCACAGCAAGTACTTTACCAACTAAGCCACCTCCCGGGCTCACTTCAGAGTCCTTCTTCAATATTTCTCTTCTGCCTGAAGAAGCACATTTAGCAATTGTTCGCTTGTGAGTTTCTAACAGTGAATTCTCTTTGTTTCCCTTTATCTGAGTCTATATTTAACTTTTTACTTGTGAAGAAGATTCTCACTGGTTACAGAATTCTAGGCTGATGGTTCTCATTTTGTTATACAGTGTTCTTCCTATCTCCTCATCCTTTGTAATTCATGAGAAATCTGAAGTCATTTTCACTGTTGTTTTTTTTAAAAGATCTATTTATTTATATGAGTACACTGTAGCTGTCTTCAGACACACCAGAAGAGGGCATTGGATTCCATTACAGATGGTTGTGAGCCACCATGTGGCTGCTGGGAATTGAACTCAGGACTTCTAGAAGAGAAGTCAGTGCTCTTAACCACTGAGCTATCTCTGAAGCCCCACACTGACATTTTTATTTTCTCTTCATCATAATGATGAATAATGAAATATTAGTCATGACCAGTTATAAGGATTTTTCTTTGCACTGTATTTTTATCAAGCTCTCTTTCTAGTTTCTTCTGTCTTCTCAGTTTTGTGATTTGCCCATGTTCTGATTCTTGCTGAGAACTTCTATTGTCCATTTGTCCTTTGGTTAAGAGATGGTTGTAGGGGACTAGAGATGTAGTTCAGTGGTTAAAAGTACTTGATGCTCTATCATCCCCGTTCTTCAGAAATTCCACCTTGCCAGTTAGGACTGTGGTTCAAACTCCTCTCTTCTTTAATGGAGAAAATAGACTGACTTGTTTGGCTAAAATGCCCTACTGAACTTATAAGCAACCTAACATTAATCTTTTTTAAAATGTTGGGGGACTGGGCTCTGTATATTGTAGTAAGTTTTATGGTCAATTCTGAGACTTTTTTATTGAAGAAATCCTGGATTTCTTGTGTTTTATTTTGCAATGCTACCATCCTCAAGTGGGGGCTGGTCTTCAACAAAAAAAAAAGTGGGACATTCATGACATAGTTGGAGGGATCATATCGAATATTTTCTTTCTCTGGGGGGTCCAATGTGTGCTGATGACAGTCCAGTGCATGAAGAGATAGGTACCTCATAGCTTTGCCCAACTCTATACTTCTATATAAAATCTCTCTTGGGCTTAGAAACATAAGTCTTTTAGCATTCATTCACTGAAACATACACTGAGATTTAAATGACTTTTCCTTTGGTTAAGAAATGGCTATAGGATGGTTCAGTGGTTACAAGCACTGGATGCTCTTCCAAAAGACTAGAGTTCTGTTCTCAGCACAAATGTCAGGTGGCTCACAACTGTAACTCCAGCTCCAGGGGATCTGAAAAATCTGGCCTCTGATGGTCCCTACAGTCATGTACACATACCTACATGCAGGCACACACACACACACACACACACACACACACACACACACAATTTAAAATAATAAAAATAAAATAAATCTGTTTTTAAAAATAGTTATATTTGGGTCACTGCCTCAAGAAGAAACTAACTCAGACTGAAAGACAAATGACCATGTAGTTGAAGAAGTAACTTCATTTTTAAAGGGTGGAGATAGTCTGGTAGTAAATTAGTTCTCTTCTCTGCCCTGGGAGATTAGACAAACAATGGATCTAACTAAGAAAATAGACTGACTCATTTGGCTAAAATGCCATACTGAAGTTATAAGCAGACTAACATTAATCTTTTTTTTAAGTTGGGGGGGCTGGGTTCTGTATATTGTAGTAAATTTTATGGTCAATGCTGAGATTTCTTATTGAAGAAATACGAAACTCAAACATTGAATTGATAGATATAAAGCACTCTGAATCCTCCCTTTTCTTCCCTCACTCTCTACTATAACCGGAGCGAAGTGTGAATCGTGTCCTGCCATTTATTTATTAACTCTTCTTTGCTATGGTCATTTCTGATGACAAAAGAAAGGCTTGCTTTTCCTCCTGCTTGCCGTGAACATTTTCCAACTACCTGTCCAGGGGCATTTAAGAGAGGAGATGCATAGGAGAGGCGAGGCGGGAGGCTCCGGGTAAGAAGAGCCGCTGTATGGGACTATGTAATGGGTCATCGGTGGCTAGGGGTGGAGCAGGGAGAGAAGTGGAATCACAGATCTGGAAGAGACCAGTCATCTGGTCCAGACTGCCTCCAGACAGGTCAGAAGGGGTGTTTGGGTGGGCCTTTTTGCACATCTGGGTTTAGCCTTTCTTGAACTTTTTTAGCCTTTTGCCTTTGACCAAAACTGATCTGTACTGTGCAAGGAAGGCATGTGGTGCTTCCTCGTGAAGCTCTTTGGGGAGGATTTAATCGGCTCTAAGGATGGTCCATCCCTTTTCTAGGAGGCCTGTTTCAGGTTTAGGTCATTCCATTGGCCTCACCATCGACGGAAGGGCAGGTCTCCTGGCCATATAATTCCCTGGGCGGAGAGCAGGGATCCTAACGGATGGTCACACTCTGTGTGTTTCTAACAGCCCCTGAGCTGTGAGGACACTATGTGCTGGGATGGGTGGGACTTGTGAGCTGGAGTCTCCAAAGTGGTTAACGTTTTCATTGTCCACGGTGGAAGGACGTAACCTGCCTACCTTCCCCCCAAATCACACCCGTGCCTGGTTTCATTTACTGCTAGAAGTGAAACTTTCAGGACTTCAACAAACTTAGGAGAATGGCGGGTGAAAATAAGTTTTAACTCGTTCCTCTTCCTTCAGGAAGAAACTGGTGACCATAAATTGAGGTGCACGAGGTAATGCTGTTGGGAGCGATCCCGGCCCTCCCCTGTCAGCATGCGCTCCTTCTCAGAGCCCAGCTCACCCCCTCCCTCGCCCAACGAAGACGAAGCAGAACTTCCCCTGGGTCGCAGCCCAGTGATATGGAGCAGCTCTGGCGCGGAGCCCTGCTCTTCCCGAGTCGTGGGTGGCGCGGTGCTTGTTTCCCTCTCCTCCCTTTCCGGACCCAAAAGGGGATGTATCTGGGTCAGCCTGGGAGGGGCCGGACCTGCCACGGACAGCGAGGGGGAAGGGGGTGGCGATGACAGCATCTTTCAGGTTTTTGGCATCTCTGAGCTGTGCCTCGGCCAGCCTCTCACCGCTTGCTCGGTGCTGGGCGATAGCTGATGTTCTGGCGAATCCTGGCCCAAGAGGTGGAAGATGCGGGTGGGGTGGGGAGTACCGTTATCCTTTCTATACACATGCCTGCTCTATGTACAATGACCAAACAATCCCTATGTACTCCCCATTCCCCTACCCCCAGGCACGCTCCTGGGTGGTGGTGGTGGGCTCCCCGCCCCAGGAAAAGAGCAATGGAACAGATCAAGGTCGTTGTAAGTTCCTGGTCTTTCCTTTCCGGTGATAAACCACGAGGCTTCAAGCCAGTTGCTGTTCAAGATGCTCCACCCTCGGGCCCAAGCCCCATCTCTACTCTGTAAGGACCCAGGTCCGAGGACCCGCGTCACTGTACTTTCACTGTACTTCAGCCAGAGGCACAGGTTGGACACCCTGCCTGGAGAGATGCAGTCCAAGCCAGGGAGCAGATACCTGACTGCCTGGGAGCCCCTCTGTGATCTATTGCACTCCTTCAATGGCGTTAGGAGGAGCTGAGCGTGCGTAAAAGCCGCACCTTCCCAAGGGCACTTAGACTGAAACTGTTGCTTGAGATCTCCCCAACTCCCTCCATGAATGGAACACAGGAATCCTTCATTTCCAAGGCCTAGGCTGTCCTTCTCAACCTGGTCAGACACTGAGTGGTCACACACTGCCAATCCCAATTCCCATGAGTATCTCCGAGTGCTGAAAGCAATGAGTTGGAAATCAGTTTTGGCTTCTTGTATCCTATGGGCAATATCTCCTCACCGCCTCCCCCACCCCCAACACACACACACACACACACACACACACACACACACACACACACGCCCGATATTGCTCGATCAGGGACTTACAGTTTACCAGAAACTGCTAACCTACGTTTGGGGTGGTGGCCCTAGCCCAATGTGGCTCTTTGGCTAGGAACTTCCCAAAAGGTGCATTTGCCTCTCTACGATGCGCCCAGGCCACTCCGAGGTTTGTCAACCTCCTCTGCCCCTCCTCACCCGGAGATATCTCTTGCTATCGTTTCTTCCACTCCTCTATAAAACCCAGTGCCCCCTACGCCCCCGCCCGGCGCAGGCGCCCCCTTCTTTGGCTGCGCCTGCCGAGGAACCGAAAGGACAGGGTGCGCGGGAGGCACGCAGAGCACAGGGCTGCCTGCGCTCGCTGCGCCTGGGGAATTGGCTGTGGGCGAGGCGGCCCCGGCTGCCCTTTATCGCTCGCTGGGCTCGTCTTTTGAAACTTTATCAGTGAGTCTCACCACTAGCCGCAGACGCGAGCGGCGGGGGGGCGGGGGCGCAGAGGCGCCGGCAGCCGTGACGAGGCGCTCCCGGAGCTGAGCGCTTCTGCTCCGGGCACGCATGGCGCCCGCACACGGAGTCTGACCTGATGTAGACTCAAGGGGGTTAATATGAACGTCCCTCTCGGTGGAATCTGGTTCTGGCTCCCTCTGCTCTTGACCTGGCTCACCCCTGAGGTCAGCTCTTCATGGTGGTAAGTCCCCGCATATGGGCGCGGTGCTGATGGATTTTTGGAGATGGGAGTGGGGACCCTACTGGTCATAGAGACCCTCCCTGGCTGTTTCCCAATCCTGGCAGTTGTGGATTCTGGGAAAACCGTGTCTTATCACAGCATCCTAAGCTGAACCCCTTTGCTTTTCTGAAAAACCTATTTTAGCTTTGACAACTCCAAAACAATCCACATGCCCCACGAACGAGGGATTTAATGTTTGGTTGTTTGGAGCCAGCTGAGTGACAGCAAAAGCAGCCAATACCTTATTCCACTGTGAAATGTGTTAGCCTGAGCTGGTCTTCTAGCAGCGACGTGTGTGTGTGTGTGTGTGTGTGTGTGTGTGTGTGTGTGTGTGTGTGTGAATTCACCTTGAAAACTACAACTGCCACCCCCTGCCACTACAACCTCAAAAACTGCCTCAAGAGACATCAATCCAGGCTGTTGGAGTTGTAGAACCTGAAGCCTGTGATTGTGTATTATTTCCCCGGCATTCCTGGTGCTTCACCCCGTTGAAGCAGCCTCCAGGTAGAGACTATTGCCTCGTTGTAAAACTACTGGGATTGAGGTGCCCATTATGCTACCCTGCTCAAAACTATCTTCCTAAATTGTAACCCTGCTGCTGTCTCCGTATGCTGATATAAGATTTACTTTGTATGTACTCTGCCTATCTAGAAATCACCTCCATCTCTCGACTTTCTATCTCTGAAAAGAGATGGAGTTCCAAGCTCTGAAACTTTCTTGTACGTTAAGTTCCAGAGCAGATATTAAAGTATTCGGATAACAATTCAGAAAGACTGGATACACACACACACACACACACACACACATTCTTTTGTATGTGACAACGATGGATCTTAGGCAAATACAGTACAGGACAAAATACAAATTCAGTGGACTATTTAGATACCAGAGTGACTGAGAGAAAAGCAAAGCACTGATGGTAAGGGGGGAGGGGGGTTCGGCTCCTTTGTAAGCTCATTGAAGGGAAGGCCTTTAGACTTGACCTTGCTAACACAGGATCAAAGACTGATTTATCAGACTGATCATTTCATTTTTCAATAAAATGATTGTTTCTGTTTCCATGTGTGTATCAACATTATTTACTGCTGGGCATTTTGTCATACCGTCTCTCAGCTGTCATATATATATATATTTGTAAGGTACAGCTGCAGTGATTTTATGATCATATAAAATAATGGGAATACAGGGGAAAAAGATATTCTCCTTGTATGATCACTTTCAAAAGGTACCTATGGCAACTTGGGTTGTATAAAAGGTATCTTTCTAAACAGTTCACAATGAATGGAGAACATCAGCCTAGAGATAATGATGGAATTTTTTTGTTAAAGTTTTTTTTTCCAAAATCTCCATACTTTATGGAATGAGAATACTGTTTTTTTCAAATATTTAGTGCCACTAATAACAATAGAAAAGGTTTTTTCTCCCCAAAAGTTTCTATAAATGACAAAAAGAGGCAGACAAGGAAACCATTTTGAGGATTCTTTAGTATGGAAAGAATACCATATTTGTAAGAAGACTGTCGCATTAGATCCCAGCGGGTGCTAATAGGATGCATGCTGGCAGTTTTGAAGACATTTAGGATCAACAAATGGGAGTGAGGAACTTCTAAAGGTCACCTTCCTCCAAAGCCAAAGGCAGACATATGGCATCACTGAAAGCAATCTTCTTTGAAATTCTCTCTGTGTTCTCCCAAACCTGCTTGCTCCACCCCCTTCAAGCCCTGATTTTCACAATGCTCCTGCCTCTGTCTCACATCATTTGGTGGCCCCAGCTTTGGGAGATAATCATCACTGTATAGGGAAGTAGCTTTGACCACGTCATTGGCCGTGCTCCCCTTGCCTACTTCTGCACTGAATGAATCAAACAACCCCTGCCTTCTAATGTTACAAGGGAATAAGCAATTCATCCTCAAATAGCACTTTAGGGCTAGTCTCCTGGGAAACACCAAGTCTGACCTGTCTGTTAACATCAACTTTGCCTTTCTGTTGGTCTTTCCCCAGGTACATGAGAGCTACAGGTGGTTCCTCCAGGGTGATGTGTGACAATGTTCCAGGCCTGGTGAGCCGCCAGCGTCAGCTGTGCCATCGACACCCAGACGTGATGCGTGCCATTGGCCTGGGTGTGGCTGAGTGGACAGCAGAGTGCCAGCACCAGTTCCGCCAGCATCGCTGGAACTGCAACACCCTGGACAGAGATCACAGCCTCTTTGGCCGGGTCCTCCTCCGAAGTGAGTCTCCTTCTCTTGGTCCTCCCTGCACCTGTGCTCAAAGCCACCCACCTTCCCCCAGTCATCCTTAATGGCACTCAGTTCAGTATTTTCCATAGAATGTAAATTCCACAAGGGCAGGGACTAGCCTGTATTATTTGCACTCTGATTGGTGCCTGTGTGTAGTAGGTCGTATTCATTTGTTACAATGACTGACTATCTAAACTTGTAGTGAGAACCTGTGGCTTTTCTAGCTACATGTTAGGCAGTAAAAGTATTTATGAAAGAGGACTAACAATTTTAAATACAGAGATTTCTTTTTCTCTTGGAGACTTAAAATTTTCCTAACTAGATAGTAAGAGCCGCTAAGTGTCCAGATATCGAAAGAAACTCAAAGCTAGTGCTCTATTGGCAAATAATCAGAGAAAATGAATTCAGATCAAGTTTTAGTTTCAAATAATATTCATCCACTAAACTGGCAAGGGTAGCCTTCTTCAGGAAATAACTCTGCCCATTTGTTAGTGGGAAATTTGACTAGAAATACAACAGTCTATGTGCAAAGACAGAGACAGAGAACTTTACACTTGATTTTTGCCCACCCAAATCCCTCCCAGTCCCAAGAAAATCATCCAGGCTGTGCACTTGGTAATGCTTAACAGAGGGTGTTTCTGTCATGTCATCTGTGTAGCCCTAGGGTTTTATGAGGCCAAATGCATAAATGAACGTCTCTAAAATCCCCCAAGGGCGTAGTCCTCTCACTCCAAAAAGTCTCCCTAAAGTTAATTTGTGTGATATTCTGCAATTTATTTCTCTCATTTAAGAACTATACTCTTATGCATTCCTTTTAGAGTTTCGATATGACATCGCAAAATTTTTGAGAGGGTAATAGCAAATGTCAGCCTCCTGGAATTTTAAGACTTCTCCTAGGGTGGTAGCTCACCAGTAAATCAATTAGTACTGGACCTTGTCAATGAAGATTTGCAAATGTCCATGGCAATTCACTGTAGACTGTATGGTTTGTAGGGTTTGTTTTTCCTTGTTAAAATAGATCAAGACTTCAAAGTTATTTTTAATGTGAGGAGCTTCTCAATACAGTGTTAACCTGTAGGTCCATGAAGCCCTTTGCTTATGGAGGGGTGCAAAAAAAAAAAAACAGTCTTGAAATCACAGATGAAAGGAAGCAATTTAGATTTTGTAAGATGTATTATTATTTCTGGGCAGGGATGAGGCATATGGAGGTTAGCAGACATGGTTCAGGATTTGATTCTCTCCTTTCACTGATAGTCCCAGAGAGTCAACTCAACCGTTTCTTGTCGAGCCATGCCGCTGACCTAAGAGGAAACAGCTTCGATAAATGATCCAAAAAACGGCATCTCTTTCCAAGCTGAGGGTTCATTCATAGAATACTTTGCAGGGTTACTAAGAGAGAAGAAGAGATGCTAACAGAAGAAAACTGAACAAACTGAGGCCTCAGGTAGATAAGGGATTACACTTGGTACTTCCTATAGCTGATGTGGGGCACTTTGCCGGGGTGCTCGAAGCTTAAAACCCTCACACCACAGGATTTCTTCCCACCCTTCACAGAAAGCCAACCTCTTTCCAGACATTTCTGCAGATCCCAGTGACTGTCAGCGATGATTCTGTATTGGTTTGCTGAGGGGCTGAATTTGGGCTACCAGCCTGGAAATAATCATGAAATTCCAATGAAGTGATCCAAAGACTTCTTACAGTTAATTACTTAGAGGGAAATTTCAATCTAGGGTTGTAAAAAATTCTCTGTTAGAAACATAGATGTACCTTTTGATGATCAGGGAAGATAAGATGAAGGGTAGGTAATTATTGCTACTAAAACCCCCCATGGTTACAGGGAAGTGGGGAGCCCTAGAGTCCCCTAGTAACACAGAATAACTTTTTAAAACATTTGGAATTTACTCTTTCATAGGTAGTGGGAAAACCCAAATAGTCTTTTAAGTAGAAACCTTTGAAATTCTAGAGTGGGTTAAAAACAAAAACAAAGGGAGATTACAGTTCATCCTTCTATTTCAAGAGGAAAAGACAAAGGAAGACAAGACAGTAGACAGAAGATAAGTGCTGTTTGTTCTTTAAGAGTTGAACAATCCACAACCCTTGAGAAACTCTAGCTTGGGGTTTTAATTTCCTAGGTAAAATCCTCCCAAATGAAACAAACCCTGCCTGCTCACCCAGTTGACACTGCTGATGCATCTCCATCCTAAAAGAGAGTAGTTTCAACAGTAGCACACTAGGAAGCATCCATATAAGCATTTAGATTATGATTTAATTTCAATTGTGATGACCCGAAAAAGAATCAGTTTTTCTAAGAATCCCATGATCAAATTTTGTTTTGTTATGAAGCCAGATCTTGCAATGTGCTACTCTTTCACACATGACACTTCAGTGAATCATCTAAAACGCTTAATTGAAAACATCTCAAGTCCATATCTGCATGTTACCACAACATCTGGAGGCAGAACGAAAAGTCATGTGCAACATATTTATTTAAGTAAATACTATTAATGAATGTGTCTGACTAATAACAAATAGGAAACTACTCTTTTGTTTTGCTTTGGTTGATTCAACAAGGCAATGTGGTTGTTTACCAGTTGCAGGAGGATGACTTTCGCATCTCAAAAACCTCTCTAGTGCTTTCAAAATACTGTGTGACCCTAATATGCTACCATCCACATCTCCTAAGCTTTTCCTCACTCACAAAATTTCTCACTCAAACTATGAGATTAGTGGTAAATACATTAAGCATGCATATACAATTATTTCTCATATATTTCTCAGTATCTATAAGTATAGATACTGGATTCCAAATCCTGAGCTTGACTTTGAATGATAAAACAGACAACCATCAGCAAGGACTATTTCAAAATGATAAAAAAATGAATACATAATGAAGGTGTAACTTATCGAAAAGCCAGTAGGTTAAAATGAATTCAGATTAGTCACCACTTCTCAGTATTCTTTTTTCGCCCTTATGTGAGAGCCTCATTGCATTTGCTGGGGCTTTTGAAACAGTTCCCATCAGCCCACAGACCTTAACATCAGAGTCTCAACAGCATGACTTGCTACCTGAGGCAAATATCCATCTAAGTGATTATCCCTAGAAATAATAATTTCCCTTTTTGATGGCTAGAGTTTTGGAGGAAGATATTCCTGAACGGCGGAGGTAATTGACACTTAATATTGTGTAGATTTTTAGTAATGGTTTTTAATAGTGAGACTAGCAAAGCAAATTTTGCAAGGGATGCACAGTAAGCTGTAGCAATGAGTGGCACATGGAAATGAACAAGGCTTCAATGCGGAAAAAGTAGGCTGTTCTCCCAGCTGTGTGGTTCAAAAAGTCACACTGGTCTTGACAGATTGAATCGCCAAATGCTTCTCTGCTTTCTGCCTTGCCTTGGCATTAGCTCGTCCAGCTTCTATTTTGATTGTTAATATATTTGCTGCAGCAACCATTAATAAAAGGTCATGCTAGTAACGATGAAATACAGTTCCACTTGAAAAATGAGGTGCACCCAGACCCTAAAGGGCCTTATATCTGTCACTCCACCATAACACCGTGTTATGAGTTACTACAGATTATTAAAATAATTTAATGTAGTTATTGCACTGAAATATGTACCTCTCAGCCTGTAAGTGAAAGTAGGCTGCTCTCTAATAAAGAACAAGTCTAAGAAAGCCCCCAAAGGGTTCTTGCCCAAGTATAATTATAGGCGGTAAATTTGTTTCCTTCCAGAAAAAACAAAGCAAAAGCTATTCACTGTCTCTGACCCGATACCAATGATTAGTGCAGGTGTTCCAGAGGAAACAAAAATCACCTTAGTAGTTAGACTCAGTGTGCAACTCAAGGATATTGCATATCACCTTCAACAATCTTTCAATTACTCGTGAAAGCTGATGGCAAGCCAGCTGTCCAGTGTTAATGCCAGGGGATGGTGACTGATTGAATTCTCTTCCCACCGTAGCCCCAATATTTCCTAGATTTCAGTATTTCATTGCCAATAAGTTAAATTTGCCTTAGTGTTCTTGGTGACACCTAGAGGTTCGGGAATGTATTTGTTTGTTGTGGCTTTCAACTTTTGTGTTCATGCAGTCTTCCACCCTATTGCAGCCAAGCCTACAATCACACCCAATAGTGTCTATCTTGATAGTTTTTTCCCAAGCTGTGATATCATGACTTCTAAACCGTAAAATGGAATGAATGGTAGAACTGTAGAATTCAGGCTGTTTTACAGATGGAGAAACTAAGGTGACTCATACCCGCTCTACTCTTCTGGGACATTTATAGTTTGGGGGTGAATGTGGTTTGCTGAAACTAGGAGCAAGGCTATTTTTCATCCTTTCTACTCTATATTAAGGAAGAGTTGGCCAATAAATACTTAAATGAACCAAATCCTCCACTAAGTGTAAGAGATTCATATTAGAGAAACTGCCTGGGATCTAGAAAAGACCCATAGGAGATAAAATACTAAGCAATTCACCATACAGAAGCCACGCAGAACACTTGAGGAGATGCTCTCTGACTGCTTTTAAGAAAAGCATTTTTGTTTCAGGTAGTCGAGAATCGGCCTTTGTTTACGCCATCTCTTCAGCTGGCGTTGTATTTGCCATCACCAGGGCCTGTAGCCAAGGAGAACTAAAGTCCTGTTCCTGTGATCCAAAGAAGAAAGGAAGTGCCAAGGACAGCAAAGGCACCTTCGACTGGGGTGGCTGCAGTGATAACATTGACTACGGGATCAAATTCGCCCGTGCCTTTGTAGATGCCAAGGAAAGGAAAGGCAAGGATGCCAGAGCCCTCATGAATCTTCACAACAACAGAGCTGGAAGGAAGGTATGGCTGCTACCCTGCTCAGCTGAGGACCCTGTGGTCTTGTGACTCACTGAGACAGATCTTAAGATTTCCTAGTTGATTAAATGTTGTGCAATCAGAGCTTCCCATTGACTCCCCAGCCCAGGATCACATGTACCACCAATTGGACTGAGATACTCACCCATATCCTACCTTTTTTCCCACAACTGAGCTCAAGACGTCCACCCATTGCTTTGAGAAGTGTAGTGAGTCAAGTGTTTTACGGTCCTTCTGGACAGTGTAGTATCCAGGCAAGAGATATCACCTGCCAGTTAGTTCTTCATCCCATATGGAAATAGCATCTTGAATATTTATATGGAGTATTGATACCCATCGCATCTTCTCTCAGATACTCCATGAAAACAATTCACCAGGCATGATGGGTTGGATTCTCCTAAATTCAGGGGTACTCTCTTTTGGAGCCAGACTTGACACTACCGATAAAGCCTCCTTTTTTGATTTGTACTGGCTGAGTAAAAGAACTAAAGAGACATCCTATCCTTTCATCCTGATAACTTCACAGTCTATAGGAATCTAGTCTTCAATCACCTTCAAACACCCATTTGGTGGACGAGGAAACTAATGCACTTACTGAGAGTTGATACAGAGCTCAGGGCTAGACTTGAGGTTTAACTCCTAGGTCAGGGTACTTCACCCTAGGACTAAACTGCTTCAATGTCTATGTTCAGATGCATGAATGAGGTAGGATTGTTTGGGAGATAGCCTGGAAGGGAATAACAAGAGAGCCAGAATGATGTTATCCATGTCTTTGGGGAGGAAGCAGAAACTGGATGAGATAAACAAATATTTGCTCTTAACCACTATAAGATAATCTAATTGCCCAAGGAAACAGCCAAAATTGCCTTTTGTCAATAAAATGTTAATAAGTAGCATAAAATTAAAAGATGTGGAAGAGGGACTGATAGGAAAAAAGGATAGAAAAAGAAGACAGATCAATTTGGGTGAAATCCTTTGACTGGGCTCCTGAAAAGAGCAAATCTCATTTAAAGAAGTTGGGTGAAAGGGACTCTTACTTAGCACATAAAATAGAATAAGTGTGATCTGAGTTGTTTACAAATTGTACTTTTAGACTTAAATATTCACAATCTTTATTAGCATGAAGTTATGAACTTATCATGACCTCTGCCAAGAATATAGACAGTGGTTGTGCAATCCCCAAATTGGTAACTGTTGTTTGTGCAATGTTTTAGATAAGAATAATCTATACTGATCTTTGTTTTGTCATCAATAGAGCACATGTAAGTGTGGTGGCTTCGATAAGAGTGCCCTGCTTAATTATTTGAATGGGTATTTTAACTTGACTCCTCCATCTTAGAAAGATGGTCTATATGCTACTACATTGTGTTCAAAAAAACATTCTTACAATGTGTCATTCGACATTGAATAGCTCTAATCTTCAAAGTAATAGGTCTTAGCTATTAAATGCTAGGTCCTAAATAAACAAGTGTTTTAATGTAAATCACATGATCTTTCACTGCGTAGAGGTGAACAGCTGTCAGGCCTCAGATATTCTGCCTACTCCTCAAAACTTCGGAGGCTACTTTTGATTGGGATAAAAGTGCACACACTGACTTTTTAAAATGTGGCTTTAATTAATGGTGGGTGGGCAGACTTTCTCAAGGAGAGGCGTGATGTCAGCGAGTATGAACTTTAATGAGAGCGAATGTATTGAGATAAACATGCGTCTCTAATTCTCTTCTCGCGGTCATTAGACCCCCAGTCCTTACTCCCCCTTCTTACCAGTGGAAGATCTGTGGAATCAAAGGGAGAACAGGCAGGGCAGTCCTCCTGAGCCAAGTTTCCAACTGGCCCAGCTCTAGAAATGCCCAGCCTCCTAGAGCTGACAGCAACATCGGCTCCGTTTTTTTTCCTTCTGTTGAGTTTTAGTGTTTCCCAAATTGTCTGATATGAGCACCAGCTACCTTTAAAAACTGAGGGTAATGGTGGGAGTGGGGAGGATAACAAATTTTATTTGAAAGAAAAGCCATTTGTTCCCAGACGTATCTGTTTAGGCAATGCTAAGTCACAACCCAACGCCGCCATCCACATTTCCCCCAATTTCCATCTCAATTTCCCCTAATAAGTAAAGTTTAATTAATTTATTATTACAGCTGGACAGAGCACCTTCATGTGTTTCTATTTTGTAATACCATCTAAATTTGCATTATCATTCATTCTAGCCGTTTCTAAGAGATTATATCGTTATTTTTTTTCCTTCACATTCACTTGAGATTTGCTTTTCATTGAGTCTAGTTTTCTGGTTCCAAATGGAGCTAGAAACTAAGTTCATTGGGTTTACAACTTCTCTCACAGCTTCCCAGGGCCACTCTTTGTAGATCTGAAGAAGCCACACTATGAAGAACTTCAAGATCTACTGAGATAAGTTTTAGTTAATGACCAGCAAATAACACCTGGGAAAGAGCCACCATTTGTTCTCTTTCCTGAGCTTGAGAAGGGCTTTTAAATTACTCTATTTCTTTTCTAAGAGGAAATAATCACGAGTTCATTAAACTTCCCTAAGCAAATCTAAGTCAGAATATCAAGCGAATCAAATACTGCCCTTCAACAACTCTAGAAAGTTCCCTAAGAGTATGAATTTCTGTAACAGAAGTCTTTAAACATACTTCCAAAACATGTCTCTTATTATAGTGAAAATAGAAAGAACATGAATCTTAATATTAGACCCAGCTGATGATTCATCTTGCAGTAACAGTGGCTTTGCTCACTGGTTTAATCAGATGAGATGTTAAATGACACAAATATGCAGAGTATAAGCAAACAGTTCAGGCCTCTCACGTGCGGTGGCCGCTCAGTGACAGTCTCTTTGCACATCAGTGGAGTCAGAGTTGTTTATAACTCAGGTAAGAGAAGCTGGTCAAAAGCCAACTCAAACTGTTACATAGGATTTAATCAGTTACTCTGTCTATGGACTCAAACTCTGTACAATCTAATGCCCTAATAAAACAGGCATAGTTTTGCTCATTTCAAAAGTCTTTTGAAGTGTTTTATAATAGGGCTTTCCAAATCTTAGTAGAAATAAAAAGTAGCATGAATAATTTCTGATTTTCAAGTGAAATCATTACCCTGAAGGAGAAAAGGTAACTAACTCAGGACCACTCTATAATAAGATGCTGGACTTGAGGTTCAAACACAGCTGTATCTACCTGTAGGCATCATCCAGAGTTTCATATTGTCTGTATTCCTGAATTCTCTAGGAAAACAAACAGTATTTCTATATTTCTTTTAAAAACTAAAAAGCACAAGAAACAGCAGTTTCTGTCCTTAGAATGGGGCCTTGCTGATGACATTTTCCCCTGCATAGCTTTATCTCAGAGACTTTCTACAGGGAACATGCAGTTAGTCTTTTTTTTTCTTTTTTTTTGGTTTATTTTTTTTTTACTTTTAAATTTTTTCATACAATCTATTTTGTTCATAAGTTCCAATCCTCCAATTCCTTCCCCACCTCACCCACCTAACTTTGTTCTTTCTCTCCTGTAAAAGAGCAAAACTAAATCAAAACCAAAAAAGCCAACAGCAACAAAAAATAAACTATAGAGACCATTTTGTATCTGTCAAGAATTCCTGAGTGTGAGGATTTCCCTGGAGTGCTGATGATATTCCCAGTGCCACTACATCAAAGAAAACTGATTTTCCCTCTCCCAGGAGGTAGCAATTGCAAATACCTTCTTAGCTAGAGGTGAGACTTTGTGTTCACCCTTGTTGGGTCTATCACATCCTAGACTTCAAGTTTACCTCAAAGTTATAGTAATAAACTACCACAATATATATTGTAATAAAAACAGAAAGGTTGGTGAATAGAATGGAATTGAAGACCAGGACATAATTCCATACACCTAAAGACACTTTAAAAAAAAAACAAAACAAAAAAACAAAGAAGGCTCCTAGGGAACAGTTGTTTTTAACAGGGAAGTGTTGTCTTTATGTTGAAAATATGCCATGGATCACTGTGGACTCAGCTTAACCAATTTGATCTCATTTTAGAGACTCACAGAGTTTCAACAAATCACCCTGCAAGTCTGAAAGCACTATGTGTGACTGGATTGCTCTTAGTTCAAAAGGGAACTTGTCAAACTCCCTGGGGAAATTCATTTGGGAGTACTGAGTCAGATAAAAAACAAATATATATAAAAAAAGTACATGACCACAGGAAACTAACTTTTAGTCAGAAAGATGGTGGTACTTAAGGACAAGACAAGCCGTGCCCAAGTGGCATATGCCCTTCAGAGTTAATGGAATGTAAGACATAAAGGTGAGGGGTGATCAGGCTTCTAGTTCCATAGAGAAGCCACTGACAGAGTTAGTGGGAGCAACAGTTAGACACATATCTTCGCCACATCTAGAAATTCTAAATTACTATGCTGAGATATTTGGATGTCACTGGAAAGATACTCAATTCTTGAGTTCAATCTTTATGCATTTTTGTCAATTCCTTTTAAGTTTGCTTCAAAAGAGTAATGAGTATCAAAGTTCAAACCTTGTATAAAACATTTCAATTGATGATTAAAAATATTTATTAGGAAAATTGCAGGATTTCTTCTAGCTCCTTGAATTTTATGATTAGTTTTAAGTATAAATATCAGCTGTTAGAGTTTGCTTTCTGATATGAATGAGTTATAAAACAGAACATGTGACAACTGGGCTATGTGGATATTTGTAATAATAAAGGTTAATATTGTCTATGAGGAATTTCTAGTTATAAATGTCAACTTGACTGGGGCAATATGGAAAGCAAGATTCTCTAATACTTGAATACAGCGTTGGACAGGCATTGCCATAGAAAACAACCTCCTCACACATATGCACCAGGTTTCAAGAAAACCAAATACTTAGGTACCATTGTTATTACCGTTTGCATATGAGGAGACATGAATATAACAGGGCAGTCAGAATCAGCATGCAAATTCACTGTATTTACTAATTGAAGTGATCTCAAAATTGTA